AGAAGCCCTTGTCATTGAGGAGTAGGAGCTGGTTCTCAGCTTGTAGATATCCTCTCTTGAAGTCAATGGAGCTATGGCAGTTAATACCAACTGAGGCTTTTCCCCCAGCACTCAGGATGCCTGAATTATTCTTGAGGCCATGGCTGTAATCCCTTAAGGACTTTGAGTAAATATGTTAAGTCCCTGTGCCTCCATTTCCCTAAGTTGGACCAGGTTAATAAACCTTACCTCTACTTCACAAGAGGCTTATGAGGCTTAATCAATTAATGGTGGTAGAGAATGTGTAATAATTTTTTGAATATGTGACTGTTAAAATAGTCCCTGAATAGCCATATTGAACAACTGGAACGGATTAAAAATATTAGTTTAACTTAACAGAAGCCTTCAGGAAAACAAGCAAGGAAATAGCACAGTATCTTGGATAATGAATAACAATGATAGCTGAGCTCTTAGGTGGGACAAGGCAACACCTAGAGTCAAAAATATATGTGATACAGCTACTGTAACAATGCAAAGCCCCTCACAATCAAAGGGATACTAACTTGTTATAAAGACCCCCTGGAGAAAGGGTGGTTGAGGGTAAGTTTTCAGTGACTGCTTAATAGAGATTCTGAAAAAATCACCAATGTAGGCTGTAGCTGAGAGGTAGAGGTACCTAGTCAGTGCAGAGCTTATCAAATTTTGCAGCTCTGGGGAGAGGGGGAAGGGTCACAAAAGGGAAGAGAGAGCTTGGGGATGGGTATAGGAGGGGCTGTTTAATCCTCCAGGGAAGAAAACTGTGGCATGTGATGGGAGGGGAGAGGTTAAGGCACTTGGGGTGCCCAAGGGGAGGGGCTGTTTGATCCTCTGCGTGTATTCTCTGGCACCCTAGTTTTCCCTTCCGAAGGAGCAACAGCCCTTCACCTTCTCGGTGCCAGGGTCAAGCTCAGCGCTGAGCTCACTGTCATCACTGCTGACTGGATGATGCTGAGCTCAGCATCAAACTCACTGCTGGTCAGCCAGGAGCCTGGCAGAGCAGAGTGACACTTTTTAAAAGGGAATTTCCTCCCTGCCTGAGGCAATGGCTGCTACAGCTGTTATTGCCTCTTCCAGTGAGGCAGGGCGAGGGAAGAGGGAGAGGGGAACATTGGCTTTTCAGCAGTGATCAGAGGCCTTGGGAGCAAGGCCTCTGCTGCTGCACTTAAACCTGGCACTAAACTTGCCCCGGAGCAAATCAGAGGGTATGGGGCGGGGATGCCACAATCTGGTCATGAAAATGTCAACCCCCACCATGATTGGGCCATGATATTAATTATCTGGGCCCGCAATTTAAACCAGGCTGTATTTACAAAAGAACAATTGATCCTTTTTCACATACTTTGGTTAAACGAAAATATTTTCTCTTATTGTCTCTCATTTTTTTTAAAAGACTGGAATATCAAGTACAGTTCATAGTGTACCTTTTACAGAACTAATACATCAGTTTTAGTTTCTAGTCTATTTATTTCAGTAAATGTCACATGTTGTGTACTGTACATGATATAGCTATTCCTCATGCAATGTATCGCATTTGAAGATATGATTTACTAGTAGGAGCTGACACATTTGATTCAAAAGTGAAATCCTTCTTCCCTGTAAACGTCACTGACTTAGAAAGGAGCAAATCTTTTTCATTACAAATGATCATGTTTGCAATGGATGACATTTAGATCAATCCGACATATTGCAAAGCACGTTCTTTTTGATCTTTGCATTTTCTGAAGTGAAGGGCACCAGTGTTTGTCTTGGCTGCATAGGCCCAGGTTCTCAAAAAGATCAGTGAACTCCTGTGCATGAGTCACTGTATTGTACAATTATCCATCCATACCTACAGCCCACCTGCCCTTTCTGGTTGCATTGCTGACCACTTTGCTGCAATGGATGACCTGTAGATTGCTCAGTCAAATATCATATAGGGATCACTGAATGGCAATTACTTCTGGGTAAAAATATATTAGATAGATTATCTTCAAATATTTATCCTATAACAATGGTACCCTGGCAACTGAAAAGTAGTAATTTATTTCTCTAATTTTTGTTCCTCCCCCCTGTCAAATTTTAGGATAAAAAAATACATGTGAAAAATGGCCTGAAAAATTTTTGAATTCTGGTTTAAGATCAGTCAGTTAAGGCGATGAGTCCTCTAGAAAAGCAGTCATACCTAAAGAAAAATAAATAAATTTTAACTGTTAAGCTGGAAAGTTTCTTTGAGTAGATGTGATATCTTATTAGACCAACTGAGTAGTTTGAAAAAGTTCTTTGCAAGCTTTTGGGTGATGAATCTAGAATTGCAAAAAGGTTTCAAATTTCATTAGAAAAGGTCCCTGATGCTCTTGTTGTTTTGCCTTCCTCCTCAAAATCCTCTTTTTTTTTAACCTAAGACATTAGGAACACAGGAGTGGAAATAGGAGTGGGAATGACCACCTTGGCCACTGAGTTCAGTCCTATGTGTTGACAAGCAATTGTTACCAAAGGAGTCTCCCAACTTGCCACTTTGATTTTTGTTACCTTTCTGTTGCAATAGACTTCTCTGTGCCATTGTAGATTCTGCCATCTATATTGCTGTCCCCAAAAGCAAATATACCTTGCAGATAAAATATAACATACCCACTTTTTCTTGAAAACACTGTGATCAAGCCAACTTATTTTCCTCTGCATTCACTGCACTGGCAGCGGTGTACCAATAGGTAGGTGACTAGGGCAACAGCCCCATGCTGACTTAACAGACCTGTCACCACTGCCGGCCCAGCTTCTGTTGCTGCCCTTGCCTTGCTGCCCTACTATACCTCTGTGTACTGGCTTCTACAGCAGATTATACCCCCTCCAAAAACTAATTAAAACCTTGACTAGTTAAATGCAACAAATATTGTATAATAACAAAGTTTGCATCCAATAACAAATTAAAATAAATCTCTAAAAGTCGAGGAAATTTGCAGAATGGAGTACATGGCAATATTTTTCTTTCTGCCTGAAATATGAAAAAAAAACAATGGGTAGCACTGTATAACAAAAACTGCCTTGAAAATGCAGTATGGGGTTTTCTGAGTGATTGGAGTGACTATAACAGGATGGCCTTCAAATAATTGTTTTCATTTGTTTAATTGGAGACTGACTTTGTCCTACATATTTTGTGTAAAACAAAAGCTTTGTCTGTATAGGTACTGATTCAACAAAATACGTAAGTATGTGATTCACTTTAAGCAGGCACTTAAATGCTTTGCTAAATCAGCAAACAGAAATGAAATAAATTGGTCCTTTAAAACAGGATTGCACATATTTTCTTATTAAGCTATACCTATTTTCACAGCAACCATAAAACTGACACACATCTGTAAACAATTTTGTGTGGTTTAGCTTCAAATTTGTACCCACTGGCCGTGTCTACAAGAAACACTTTACTGCGCAGTAGACCAATGTACTGCACAATAAAGTGTCACTGTCTACATGTACAGGTGCTTACTGCACAGTAAATTAGTTAAGGCAAATTGCATTAACTGCATGTGTAGACACACATGCTGAGAAACAACAATAAATAAGGGCGCTGACAGACGCACACAAAAAAATAAAACACTGTTTTACCGGAAGAGGCGGCACATTAGTTCAACCCAACTGCACAGCATCTGTATAAATCAGGTGCTTCACTGGGGCTTTTTGGGGCTTTCTGTTGAAGTGCTGGATCAATACAGGCGTTGGGCAAACTGGGTCCAGCTAACACACTGCCTTTTCAGGGCATGTGCTGAACTCAGTGTGGGAGTGAGCAGAGCTTAAATTAAAACACTGAAGTTTTTTTTTTCCATGTCTGTAAATAGCTCATATAACTAGGCTGGTTTTAATTTTTTTAGTTATTCTATTGTTCTATTTTAGTATCCTGGTATTTATACACATACTTTTCTGTCTCACAACGTGCCGGAGTTCTGCTGCTTCCACGCATGAGCTGTGGTGAACTGCACTGCACCGCATGAGGTTGTATAAGTGGTGAAGTGCGCATCAGTGCACATAAAATGGTGGTTGTGCACTTTTAAACTAAAGCAACTCTGATGCGTTTTAGTTCAAAAGTGTGCCACTGCCGTTTTCTCAGCACTGATGTGCATTTCACTGCTTATACAACTGCAAGCGTCAAAATGCAAGGCGCTTGCATGTATAAAAATGCCCCAAAGAGTATAGTTATATGCCTACATCTTGATTAGTTTTCTCAGATAAGTAAGTAAGGGTATTAAAGCTGGGGTGGCACAGGCCCTAGGGCTTATGGTTGATATTCTAGAGGTTGCAAGTTCAAAGACAGCTAAAAGAGCTTATGGTATTACCTGTCAGATTACAGTGAATCTGGAAATTCTGCTAAACACCTTGTCACAGGGACATGCAAAGGAATTGATGGTTGGATTTATATTTGAGAAGAGATGGGTATATTCGTGGTTGATTTTTCTCATTTTTGGCTGCTATATAGCATAGACCCTGGTTTTCTAAGGAGCCTAAGGCCCATTTTCAAAAGTTTATGGTTTTCCAGGCATCCTATTTTTTCTTCAGGCATTGTTCTTCCCTTTCCTGATCCTAGAAAAAAATGAAAATAACTACAGCAATTACTTATGCTCCAAGGCATACATTTTTAGTCAGCTTGCTTTCATCAAGTAGTTTCACATTTTGACCAAAAAAAAATGTGGTTCCCTGTTGCTGGCAATCATCTCCTCCTCCCCTACAAACACAGTCCATTTCCATTTTGCCCTGAATTAGGGGAAGAATCTATTTCTTATTTCCTGATTGTCCTGATTACAGGTCTCCCTGGAGATTGGCAGATCAGGTCAGATGATGGTTCCAGTACCTCATGATAATTCCTAATTCTTCTGTACAGGACAGGCCCTAGCAAGTGCCATCCAGCCCTTTGCTGGTACAAAAGCTACCTAACCCATTATCGGTTAAACTGGATAGCATGTGTACTGCATCCACTCACTCTTTAATTCCATTATTGTCCTTTTTGGCTGTTTCAGATAAGAAGACAAGGAGGAATACAGTTACTGGTGGACCTACTGGACCATCGAATGACAGAAGTCCACCGTAGTGCCTGTGGAGCACTGAGAAATTTGGTGTATGGGAAAGCCAACGATGACAACAAAATTGCCCTGAAAAACTGTGGTGGCATCCCAGCATTAGTACGGTTACTCCGCAAGACTACAGATCTGGAAATCAGAGAGCTGGTCACAGGTTTGTTTCTTTCTATATCTCAATATTGAAGTTCAGCTGTTCTGCAGGTCCTAGCCTAATAACATTCATATAACATTAGTTACTTCATCTTTGGCTTTATTCACCTTTTGTTTTATCATCATCTTTCCCATCATCAAATGTACACCTATAAACTCTTCAGATGGATGAAATAATGCCTGCCTTTACTCAGAATTCTACAAGTATTTATTGGTACAGAAGTGATACTTTGAGCCATGTTGCTATTTTTGTCCTGCCAGCAGAGAACTATCTTGATCAGGTTGCACCCTATACACCACTGCTCTTCATGTTTGTAGTTCCATCATTGGTTAAATTTCCTCCATTTTATGCTGTGCTGCTTCACTTGAGGGGGTATGGTTATGCTGCATTTGCTGTTCTTTTCCCCTTTCATATCTTTAAGTAGTGCAAACCTGTTTCGCTTTGCTTCTGATAGAAATATGTGAAAGAAATGTGTTGGAGAGATGGGCAATGTTTCTTTTATTGCAAACTGTTTTTCTAATTCTCAGTAGCATACTGAACAATGCACAGTCTATGTATAGAGAGCACTGTGATTTAAAGAGATTTTAGATTGCAACCAGGTAATTGCTGGTATTCTGTGATTTCAGAAGAAGTTTGATTCTAATTCTGTTTGATTTGGGCTTTTGTGAGCTACAAAAAAAAATAAGTACCTGAGGATTAAAATATCTTTGACTTGTGTTTTACCAAAACATGCTCATTTTAAAAAAACCTAAATGTTAGCAGTAGAAACCACCTTTTATGGATTTTGTCATATGGTTTGTTATTGTGGGAAAGAAACAGAACTTAAATCTGCTACCCATGGTGCTAGAGTTGATAAAAAGGGCAGCAGAAAAATGGAATATAAAATCTCACTGTTCCCTCAACTTTTATATCCTATTTTCACTTAGCAGAAGTAGAAATGTAGCTCAGTTTCTGGTTAGTGTCATCCTTCCCCTAGTCAGTGTTGTGTGTACATGAGCATATAATAATTTCCACAGTTTTTGTGGTATGCCAAGAATTCCTCTTTCCAGAGAGTGGGCACTCTTTCAGTGGTTGTTGTACATGAGCAGTCTTCCCTCTCCATAATACTTTGTCATGCTACATCTGCTCCCTGTTCATGAGGAGCCAGCTTGCATCACCATAAAAAGGAAAGCAAAAGCCATGTAATGATCTTTAAACCCTGTGTGATTTCCCTATTCACTTGACTACTAAACAGTGTCAACAATGTGAAAATTAATTTTATGTTACAAAAAGAAAGTCTTAAGATCCCCTAAGGTATTTCTAATACTGATATTTCCATCATGTCTTTCCTGCTACAGGATATAATAAAAGTTCTGGTCTCTGTGATAAAGGGATCATCACACGCAGTGTTCCCTCCACTTTAACAGTGGTCAGTTCACTTTGTGGAACGTCCCCTGTTTAGTACAAAGTTGGCAAGAAATCTGCCCTAGGGTTGACTCCTAATCTCCTTGCTCCGGGAAATCAGCCTCATGATATATTTTAAATGTAGATTTTATATTTAATTTTGTTTCCTAATTATAACCCCTTTCATCTCATACCTGTTAGGCAGGTTTAATTAGATTCTTCTTGTCAAGAAGATGCTGTGCTACACGAGGCTCTGATGATGCATCCTGCTGAGTGACAGAATTACTGACAGACCTAATAAAGTGTAACTACTACTTCAGTTTCAACATATTTGTTCAGCTCCTGCTTGTGTTGTCTGCCTCTCAGTTCCAGGGAGTACTCTTCCTGCTTTCTATGAGCAAATGAGTAACAAAGTGCTAATGAACTTGAGTCGTGAACTTCGGCAACTACAACAGAAGTTTCCGCATTATCTGTTGCTGTAATACACGACCGCTGTATCATTAGCTCTCTGGCCTTTAAAGAAAATAACTTACAGCCAGCATTCAATCCATTGCAAAATGTATGGCTGATCCTCCTGCATCCCCTCAGAGAGAAAGAAAGGTCTTTCACTTGGGTGTTTTTCAACTGTGACAACAAATGATAGATATAAAATGCTGACCTCTAACGGTGGTAAGCAGCACTTGCAGTGACAGTTGTGGCTAAATGTCTACGCAGCAAAAAACAATGTCACGCAGAGATAATTGAGCTAGTGCTGCCTTAGCTTAAGTACTGGGAGCAGTATAGTCAGTGCAATACTCTACTTAGCTTTCCTGAGAAACATAATAGATTATCCTCTGTGGAGTACTGCATTACTGTGGCTGTTACTGCTTGTGCAGCCTGGTTCAGGGAAGACTCAAAGTATGAATAAACAATAAGCTTATATGAAAAGGGGAGGAGCAAGTGGTGCAGGAGAGTGATGCTGTGGAGTGGAATCAAAGCAGTTTTAATCTCTGGAATTTCATCCTAGACCAGGCATGGGCGATTATTTTGGCTGAAGGGCCAATTAGCTAGTTTGGTGAGCTACTGAAGGTTGGGTACAAGAGGCAGGGAGTTGCCAGTGGATCCTATCCAGCCCAGGAGCTTGAAGAGAGAAGGCTGCATCACATGCTGCTCCACTTCGCAACAGCCACGGCCAGGCCAGGCTGCGCAGCATGCAGATTCTTCCACCTCCCCTCCCTGCCCTCTGACCCCCCAGCTTTCTGTTGGTGCTGTGCAGTCCTGGAACTGCGGCCACTGGCAGCCAAACCTGCATGGAACAGGGTGTGATGCAGTGCCCTGAGTAGCCTTCATGCCCGCCCACCAAATTGTTCTTGGTTGCAACTAATAAGATGATACTGTGGGAATGTCTTGCATTGTGTTCCTCTGAATACATTCTCTCTGAACTCTGTTCATTTTACCTCTAAGCAAATCTACTTGTATATGCCCACATACATAAATACCACATATACCATGCATGTGTATATATATATATACACCATACATCCCCTCTATAACAATACTAGTTCTGGGTGTACTGGACTGCACAAAACCAAATATTTTAAATGTCCACATAAAAATCTTTGCAAACTGAGTTTTAAACTGCACACTAGATAATTGCTTAGAAATATCAAAAAGATGTGTGGTCAGACAAAAACATGAGCACTTTCAGAAGTTTACAATTTTTTTTGGACTATCATTTGATGGTCTTTTGTACAACAAAATTTGTAAACTTTGCCTTTTGGCTTATAATTGCATCCCATAAATATGAGCATTCTCATAAAAACCCAGACAATTTACACTACAAAATCTGTTTACAATGCATGTATTTAACCACTAACTAAATAAAGCTCTGCACTGGATAATTTTTTTCTCCAAAATGCTTATTATGAAAGGATCATCAGAATTTAATTTAAATCCTCTTGAAGCCATTGTGTATTATAATTTTGCCCAAAATAACCTTACACAAATATTCACAAAATGCAAATGCTGCCTATGTTATCATTCTTCAGCATTGCACCCAGTTTAATTTTTCACTGTGAGTTCCATTCATTTATGTGGAAAAATTGTTATAATCCTTGGTAATAGGCTAGATAATAAATGAAAGGAATGGTCTTTTTAGTAAATGTTGTGAGTTCAAGCTTTAATCTCATCCTGTTTCAAAGTTCCTTAACTAGATGATAATTTATAGTTACAATAGAATTGTTTCCTCTGCTCCCACTAGCAAGGCTCAGTTACCCCAGTCATTCTATACTTCTAAAGCCTGTAGTACTCTCTGAGCACACCATCAATCTTAATTATCAGCGTCAGGCAGGAATTGTAGCACCTTTTACCCTTTCCAAATTATTTCAGTCATTCCTCTAGTCCTATCTTGGCCACATCTACAGTCACAGAGCAGTGTGTTTCTGGCCATTATTGCAAATCTAACAGTCAATCATTTTACTTGCATAAAAACATTTTTTCCTTGATAAAATAAAAAACATAGGGAAGAAAGTCTGAAAATAAAGTTTATTAAAGGAAAACATACTGCCTTAGAGATTCAGAATGGAAGCCATGCTAAAATCTGAAGGCCTTCTAGAAAGCTTTTTTTTTTTTTAATTCCCCTGCTATTCCATATATCTAAGTGTCTTTCTAGGTATTTATACCATTACAATCCCATAAAGTAAACTAGTAGTTCTTAAATCGTCAGTTCTTTCTGCCTTACGCTAGTACAGTGTCAATGGGATTGGTTTTGTTTTATATTTTTAAGTATTTGGGGAAACTAGGCCATGAAAGCGGATTTTGGGTTTAAGTCCTTTGTCATTCTCAGTTCTTGCAAAACAGAATGCTGCTAATGTTGGCTGACTATTGAGAAATCTCTGTGCCTCATTTTCATCATAATGTAGTGTGTTATCTGTCATGAGGGCATTTGTCCTAACAAAGGAATGAACACTGTGGTCAAGTCCTAAGTTGTGAGGAGAGTGTGTTTCCTCCCAGCTAGATGTATTCTTAGCACCTGAAACTATCTGAGTAGTAGTGAGAAGTTCTGGGAGAGATGCACACAATCATGGAACAGTTGCCTTTGATAGAAGGTGAAGTGACAGTTCATCAAAATGTTTCCTTTTCTCACTACATTTTCAGTCCAGCTAAAACACAGTTGTATCCAACTTCCTTTCATCCAGGAAAGCAGTGCCACCACAACTGCACATAGAGAAGAGGTAGATCTTTGTGCATTGTAAGCACATATTGTTACAAGTGGGATCTCTGGAGAAAGAAGTGCATCTGTCCAGTACAAACCTTTGAGATCAGTCTAACAAAATGTTCTTTCTTCTGCATCAAAGTTCCTAGAGTCTTCATAAAGAAATTACTTTGGGTGAGGGGAGACTGCAGAAATGGAAATGTTCTTTGTCAGAGATGAGGTGTTTAACTAACCTAATCTTCTAGTGTGGGATGATTTCATTTTTGTGGTTCACAGTAATAAAACTAACCTCTACCCATCACATAGCCAGCATCCCAGCTCCCCACCTTCAATAACCTTTGCTGTCTTGGAACTAGCCAATTTATTAATCATGTACTTAACAACATCTGCCAAGATCTCCTCCTCCTCTCTCTTCCTTATTGCAGCG